ATAGATGCCACATTTTTTTTTTATCCATTCATCTATTGAAGGGCATCTGGGTTGGTTCCACAGTCTAGCTATTGTGAATTGTGCTGCTATGAACATCGATGTGGCAGCATCCCTGTAGCATGCTCACTATAAGAATCTTGACAGTTCATCAGCCAAACCCCTGACTTCACTACTTTTAATCATCCTTGTCAGTGACATAATTGGCTGCTTATTGCCTTCTTCTACCTTTTAACATTGCTAGCATTTGGGTATTTCACTTTTTATTTCTCGTGTATTAAGAAATAGAATATTTCTTGACAGAGCTAGTAAACCCATTTTGGTCCTCTTTGAGAAGAAAATGAGGAGAGTGTGTTTTGTTCCCAGTGCAGCTAAATTAGTTGCTAAACATTTCATTTACAGCTCTCTCAACGAGTTAAGGGGGAAATTATGAATACATTTGCGTATTTTTTCCCATATCTGTTAACTACTGAATTATGTTTTAAGAAGCACAGAACCAAAGATAAGAACAGATACTGTTTTAGGATGAAACTAGGTAGTCATTCTCATCATCACAATCATGGCTTCTATTAGAGCACAGGGAGGAAGATAAATCCATGAGGCTTTCCTAGCATTCCCAGAAAAAAACTTTCCCTGACTTTTCCATAAGATAGATGGATTTGAGGATGCAGTGACTTCAGTAAAGAATTATCATCTATTTTCTTGTATAGAAGAGTTAAGGAGTGAAAGAGAGGAAGAGAGAAAAATAAAAGCTAATGAGCTCTTCTTGTACATGGATAGGAAACTGGGAATTATTTAAGTGAGAAATGGTTGAGGATCAGGAAGTTCATTTGGTTCAGCATAATACATAATGACAACACGTCACACACTGTAGGGTGGCTATAAATGCAGAGAGGTAGGGTTGTATTTGTATAATTAAAAGATGAGGGGAAATGGAAACTTGTGTGCATTTTATACCTCTTGGGGGTACTCTATCTGAAAACCCCTATTCTAGTGCATGGTTTTAGGCATTCAAAATCAARTACTTTTTGCTGTATTATTAGTATTCCACATTAATACAGTTGACGGTTTATAAGGTAGACTAAAAAATAAACTGTCTCTWGACAGATTACCATTGGGGATAGTATGAAGTGACTGGTGTCTTCAGACTACAATGGAAATGGGAGGGACTGAAATGCAGACACCTCTATACTTGCAGATACTTTGAAGAATTGTTTATAGGCTGAATAATCCCAAATTATTTTCTTAAAATAGGTTTTATGCTGTTTCCAGTAAAATATTTCAGGTTGTGCTCATTTGACTTTTTTTTTTTTTTTTTTTTTTGGTCTCAGACGAGCTCATCTGCGCCTGTGTTTAGAACGCTTAAAAGTTCTGATTCCACTAGGACCAGACTGCACCAGGCACACAACACTTGGTTTGCTCAATAAAGCCAAAGCACACATCAAGGTGAGAGTTTTTATTTTCAGATTTGCACATGATTCTCTGGGTCCTAGTTTAGTTATTACCAATGATTCCTGTTCATATACTTTAGCTGGCTCACCATGCCCTCCTTAATAACTGACCTTAAAAGAAATCTTTCTAAAAATTGATCACCTAATCTGTCTGAGTGGAGCAACATAACCTGATAAAACTAAATTGTTTTGACAGTGTGGCCATTTGAAGATCTGAGAATGCTAGAAAAATAACAATTACTCTTGTGATATCTACAAGGAAGACCATTGTGCCCTCTGGTGGAGATGACTTCATTTGACTGTGTCCTTCAGTATTTTTCCATCAAATACCACACTGCAGAGGAAGTCTGTCCTTTATAGAGATTACTTTACAGACTTTTAAAATTCTGTCTTGTTTATATGCAGTCATACACAAATAAGACAGGACTCTTTTGATGTTTAAAAATATGAATTTATATGTTTTTATATATGCAGACACTTGTATATTCACTTGTTTTCTCAGCCAAAGAAGAAATCTTTTAAGATATCAGGTAGAAATAAGTTAATGTTTGTATTGTACTATCCACAATGTAAATATCATTTCATCATCCTAGAAACTTGAAGAAGCTGAAAGGAAAAGCCAGCACCAGCTTGAGAACTTGGAACGAGAACAGAGATTTTTAAAGCGGCGACTGGAACAGCTGCAGGGTCCTCAAGAAATGGAACGAATACGAATGGACAGCATTGGATCAACTATTTCTTCAGATCGTTCTGATTCAGAGCGAGGTAGGCAGTGTGCCTTTTCTCTAATGAAATACTAAGCATCTCTGTATCTGGATTTAGGGAGGCACACTGTATTTGCTTTCTTTTTAGCCAACACTGACATTTTATGTATTCACAACATTGTATAGTCCTGCCTGTGTGAACTATGTAATTCTTATTCTGGGGAGGTGGGGGTTATCTATCTACCTACTTAAAACTTTTCATTCTGAATTACTTTTAAAGTTTTCTGTAGAAAATTGTAGGGCCCTCCACCTTCCTTTACTCAGTTTCCCCTTATRTTAACATCTTATATAACCATAATAGAGTTATTAAAACCAGGAAATTAAGCTGACATAATACTAGTAAGTAATCTGCAGACTTTACTCAAAATTTAGTAGTTTTTCCCACTGATATCCTTTGTCTGGTCTAGGATCCTATGCAGCATTCCCTGTTGCATTAGCTATTCCTCAGTCTTTCTTTCATGACCATAACATTTTGGAGTATTTGCCAATCTTTTTATACAGTATTCCTCAATTTGAGTTTGTCTGAAGTTTTAAAATTATTGAATTGGGGCAAGAAATATCACTTAAGTGATGTTGTGCCCTTCATTTCATTGTTTCAGAAAAAATACTGAATTATGTTTTATTACTGGTGATATTAATTTCTTAATGTATATTTTAAAGTACCACACCCTTCATTACTCTTTCTGCCTGTCCTCAAACATTTGTCTTTGGCAGAATTATAGAAAAGAAGTCAGCCAAAAAAGAAACAGTCTGAACTTTATAGCTCAGGCCTTATACCATAATAGAAAATCCTGAGGTGAACCTTGATGATTTTGAGCCTTAAATTTGAGAAAACAGAATTAATGAGATCTTAAACATTCTAAAATATTATACAAGTGACACTAAGTTTTTAAGTCTTTTTTTTGTTTTGCCCTTTTTAAGGAAATTTCCAAAATATTCAAAAATAGAGAAAATAGATTAACTCTCATGTACTCATCATTCAGTTATAATAGCTGTCAACATTCTGTCATTCTTGTTTCATCTAATTCAAATATGAATCACATATTTAGAGTTTGTCATAGAGGAATGGAAAATCCTATTTTTATTCTAGCCCTTATTGGATAAAATAATTTTTAACTTTTATTTTTAAACTGTGTATTGTTGTTATAATGTATTGGTGATAGTATATGTAGTATTTGACAAGGTCTATATAGACATCATATACGTGTTTAAGGGTTTGTTTGGGTTTTTTAAGTTAAATACCACCACCCAAAATGCCTTTCCTGTAATCCTATAGATCTCACTATAATTCAGAGACTTATTTTAAGCTTCAGGTCTTTATTTCAAGCTATATTTGGGGCTGAGAATGTAACTCAGTGGCAGACCACTTACCATGTACAAGACTATGGGTTTCATCCCTAACAAACCGAAAAGACAAGGGAGGAGGTGGGAACTTCAAACTGTATTTGGTGCAAGAAAATTAAAGACAAATCCCTCAAAAATCTACTTTGTAACAAATGGCTGATTTTAATTACTAAATAGCAAAATATCTTCACTATGAACCTTTGAAGTCTGTAGAACTATCTGTAGAATGGTATCTCCAAAGGCTTGAATGAGTAGATTTTCTAGTTTGCTATTTTCTTTTCCTTCCAATATTGGAATCAGGCTTTGTGCATGCTAGGCAAGTGCTTTACCACTGAGCTATACCTTCAGCCCGTAGTCTGTTTTTAGGTTTGTGCTCCCCCTCTGCTAGTCAACCCTGATTAGTAAACAACACTGAGAATTAGTTTTTGGTTTAATGTAAGACAGATGTTGTTAAACCACTTGGGTTGGGATCTTTTAATATTAATTAATAATTCCCAGATTGGTGGGACGTCCAGACGGACTGGCGTCAACAGGGTTTTAGTAAACTTGCTGCCCAAATTAAGACCACCATTGTATACCAGAGATTCCCCTGTACAGAAAGTATTTCTTTGATCTTCAGTTTCTCTGTTCTCCAGAGCTCACTGATAAAAAACTGGTTGTATAACTTTTGTTTTATGCCACTTTTCCTCATGCCTTTTAATTTTTGAAGGTGCACATAGAGTAGATTATTAATGTTTTTCTTTTTTTTTTCCCCTTTGGCAGAGGAGATTGAAGTGGATGTTGAAAGCACAGAGTTCTCCCATGGAGAAGTGGACAATATAAGTACCACCAGCATCAGTGACATTGATGACCACA